TATTGTTTGATCAATTTTTCATGCCTATATTTTGTAATCTTAAAAACTACTTTGAAGAAAACAGTACACAATTTGCTAATCTTAATTACTCTCCTACAATCTTGTTTTGAAATTTTGTATCACTTTTTCCTTTAAAATACAAAGAAAACATCCTATAAAACTTTGTTGCTCATATGGAATTTATTATGAAAGTATGTATTATTTTTGTAAATCTTACACAACACATGTTTTATGTCAGTAAAATTTATAAGAACCTTATTCATTTCTGAGGATGTTTGTCCAGTACTGACCAGCACAATATATTAACTGCCACTATGGTAGTGACTGAGCCTCTTCATTTCTACTGCACGTTCATAGGTTCGGGGCCTGGCTGAGTACGTACTGCATGAGTTTCTCTTCTTGCTTTGCCTCCATCTTTGAACTCAAAATGCGTATCTTTTAACAGAGTTATTGTGATATATCTCACATCCTAATTTATCATTTAAATTATTCAATTCAACCTTTTAGTACATTCAGAAGATTGCAAAACATTCCCATCATCTAATATTAGAAGAGTTATGTTTTTCCAAAAAGACTTTGTAAACAATATTAGTCAGTGCCTATCTTTTCTCTCCATCCTAAACCAGCAATAGTCGAATATGTATTTGGCTATGCTAGATATTTTATTTAAATTGAATCATGCAATATGTGGTCTTTTGTGTCTGACTTCTTTTTCTCGGCTTAGTGCCTGCAGGATTCATTCATGGCACAGTAAAGATTTTGTTCCTCTTGTGGAAGAATAACAATCATTTATTTGTATGATTATACACAGGCATTTGTAGCCATGTTTCAGGGACACTTGGGTTTTTACTTTTTGGCTATTACAAATAGGCTATTAATATTTGTGTAGAGTGTATGTGGACTTATTTTATCGTTCCTCTTGAATATAGCTTGGTGTGGGCCAGGTGAGTCATCTCCTAAGTCTTTGTTTAATGTTTGAGTTATTGGTGAAACTGTTTTCAAAGCAATTGCCTCATTTTGCTTCCCCATCAACAATTCACGCGAATTCTAGTTTCTCTACATACTCCCTCCACATTTGATTTTAGAAATCCCAGCGAATGTGAAAGGAGCGTCTCATTGCAGACTTACTTGCACTTCTTTGATGACTAATACTATTGTCTTTTCGTGTGTTTGAATATGTTCTGTGGAGAAATATCTATTTAAAATCTGCCAATTTTTAAATGATTTGACTTTCTATGATTGAGTTGTATTTTGATGTATATTATTAATAAAAGTTCCTTATTAGATAGGCTGCTCTTAAATATTTTACCAAATTTTTATAGGTTTTCATTTCCAGTTTTGATGAGAGATCATCTGCAACATATTTTTTATTTTCATGTAATTATTAATGATTTATCTTTTATTGTTTTACTTTTGGTATCATAACTATGCCCTACCCAAGGTCATAGGCATTTTATTCCTATGTGTTATAAAAAGTTTGAGTTTAGTTCTCACTTTTAGCTTTAAAGTCCATTTTGATTTGATTTTGCTACATGGGACTACATGAAATTCTGGCTTCATTTGTTTGAGTATGAGGGTATAGTTGTTATAGTAGGCTTTGAAATTAAGAAGTATGTGAACTGCAAATATATTTTAAAGATATTTTTGCTATGTTTATTACACTGCATTTACATCAATTTCTCTAAAATGCTTGTTAGAATATTGCTAAGAGCTTGCATTGGTTCTATTAGTAAATTTTTGGAGAATTGCCATCTTAATTATGCTACATATTTTGATTCATGTGTGAAGTATACATATCTACTTTTATCTCATTTTAAATTTCTTTTAGCAGTATTTTATAATGTTTATAATCTTAAACTTATTTTGTTAACTTCACATCTAAATTTAGTCCTAAAATGTTAATGTTTAGATGTCCTTCTAAATGAAATTATTTAGTCTAACTCAATTTCTGATTATCTGTTAGAAAGGAAGAGAAATATAATTGATATTTATGTATGGAATTTGAACTTATCAATTCTAAGTTGGGGGGATTTCTTAGGATTTTCTAAATATACAATTATGTTATGACATATATAGAACCTGAAAAAGATGGCTATATTTCTTCCTTTCATATATAAGTGCCCTTTTTCTTTCTTTTTTTTTCTTTTTTTCTTTGACTAATGTCCCTAGCAATAAACCATCAAGAATGTTTGAGTCATTTACATTGTAGTTTTAAACATATGAAGGCATTTTTGCACTTAATTGTAGAACATTTGTATGAATTGAGGGTGAGTCAATTGAAAGTAATGAGATGCGTATGATAGAAGGATTGTAGACCATTTCCTTTCCCTAAGTATATGTGATTTCATATGGTATTGATGTGCACTGAATTTATGATCTTTAAAGAATGCTAAGTATTAAATAGTTGTGAAGCTTCTCCAGCACAGTGTCAGAGCACAATTTGTACCTTCTGTGTGCTGATTCCACCTGCAGTTGGCTGAATAATGGCCACCCAAACATAACAATTACTGATTCCTGCCTCTTGAAATTATTACTTTGTTCAAACAAGGAATTTTTGAGTATAATTAGTTTAAGGATTTTGAGATGAAGAAATCACCCTGAATTACCTGGAAGGCCATCAGAAAGGTCCTTGTGAGAGAGAATTAGAGAAGATCTACCCAGAAGAGAAGGCAATGTGATATGGCCTGGAGCCATGGAATGCCAGCAACCACTTATACCCGAAAGAAGTAAATAACAGATTTTCCAGGACAAGTGCATCTCTGCTGACAATTTGATATTGCACTTATGTTCTCCAGGATGAAAACAGAAGAATTTTCTCTCTTGTTAAGCAGCTCATGTAATGGTAAATTGTCACAGAAGCCAAAGGACTTGTATGTACTACTGTAACGATTTTTAGCTAAACATCTTTTCTGCAGTAGACAGTCCTTAAACACCCTGACTGGGTTATACCCCTGGATGACTCTAGTAACTAGCAAGGAGCTAGGGACTATTTAGGTTTTGCTGGATACTAGATAAAATGAATAAATTATAGTTTAATGTTTAGCTGGCAGGCTGAGTAAATATGCAAATGACCCTGGGAACAAATAATATATTAATTTATGTAAGCACATAGAATTAATAATTGCACAAATCACTGTATTTATGGTTATTCTTCAAGGAACTGACTGGAGCCAAGAAGACAAAGTTTCATGGCTGATTGTATTGATAGAAGAGTAGAATTTGAGTTTCCAAGCCTAAGGAGTAATGGATGTTCTCTGAAGATGTAGAGACAGTCAGCTGGGGGCACATTAAATGGCATTTTCCTGGTTACTGTTGTCAAAGTTGAACGGTTATCCAGGATGGTAACTCCCATGCATCATGCGAGTTTGCATTCTCAGTGTGTGCTAGTCCTGTGTTACAAGACAGTGAGGTAACCGTCAGCCCACGTAAGGGAAAGATGCCTTGAAAGGTTCGAGAAGAGGTGTGAGAAAGGTTGGGAGCTTAACTGGGAGCAGCATTCATCACAGTAATCTGTGAAGGGACATTTGTAGTTGAACCCAGTGAGGAAAACCCTGTATAGCTTAATGTGAATGTGCTGTCTTGGCCACTGCTACCTTCAAGGCTTAGTATGAGAAAGAAATAAAAACCAAAGTAATGAGAAGTGCCAGTGAGTTCTTCATGGTTGTGCAACTTCTGGAATTAGTGTTGAATAAGACTCCTGCCACATCACTCATTAACTACACGATTTTGCTTAGTTGCCTCACGGTACCAGCATTAATTGCTTTATTGGCTTCTTTGTGATATTACTTGGGGTAAAAATAAGTGTGTGTGTGTGTGTGTGTGTGTGTGTGTGTGTGTGTGTGTGTGTGCATTTTCATAAGCAGGTAACTCTTCCATGTTGCACTCATGTAAGGTTAATGTTTTTTTCATTATCTGAACTCTGCCTTATTGTCTATCATCTGTTTGAACTGCTGGCTCTGCATCATATTTCCCTTACCATCGTTTGTGCCCCAGCTCAACTCGCACCTATGCTAAATTATATTTCTCCCAAGAAACTACCTTAGCAGTTGGTGATGCATTTATTCTCTGAACGCCTATAGTGTCTCTTTTCTTATATTTTAATAATATCACTAAAATAGTAGGGGATACCATTTATAGAATGTTCATATATGGCAGCCATTGGGTTTATGTCTTTTGCACATATTATTACATTTAATTCTTACAATAATTCTATGCAGTTGGCTCTGTTATCCCTATTTTGCAGCCATGAAAAGAGAAATTTAGAAAGATTTAAGTGGTTTGTAAAACTACTCAATTTCTGGGTGGAAGAATCATAGTTTACATATAGGTAGCTTGGTGTGGTGGCACAAGACTATTATCCTAGTACTCAAGAGGCTGAGGCAGGAGAATTCCTGCAAGTTCAATGACAACTTGAGTTACATAGTGAGTTCAAGGCCAGTGTGGACTACATAGCATGACCTTGTCTTAAAATAACAACAACAACAACGAAGCACCCATAGTTTACACTTAGGCAAGGTCTTAGAGTTCACATTTTTAACATTTAAAACATTTGTCTTAATCTAATATTGGTAATAGACATATTTTCCTTCCTAGATTATATGATGTTTGAGGATAGAGAATCCATGTTCTATTATTTCTGTAATTACAACTTCCAGGACTCAGCAACTGAAATACTGATTGAATGAATGAATAAATATTTAGAAATAAATTATTGACATAAAATTAATAGGCTTTTAAGAAGGTTATACTGATGATTAAAAGTAAGTCAATATTAAAACTCAAAAGATGAGACTTACGGCTAAGCATGATTTAAACTTATTTTCTAGTCCTGTTTATTAAATTTCTTTAGGTAAGTAATACATAAAATTGTGGGCTATCATTCAAAAATGTTGAAGTTTTCTACCTAGATGATTTACTTCAGATTATCTAAATATTTCGATGCAATTCACTTTCTGTGTTAATTTCAAATGAATAACGTGTGTCTTTGGTTTTGTTTCTAGGATGGCGTGGGGGTAGATGAAAAGCTGTCTTTACGGCGGGTCGCGGTGGTGGAAGACTTCTTTGACATTATCTATTCAATGCACGTGGAAACCGGGCCAAATGGAGAACAAATTCGGAAGCACGCTGGACAGAAGAGAACTTACAAAGCAGTAAGTAAAAAAGGCATGAACGCTGAGAATTTTTATGTTTTAAATTAGATTAAAATAATTACTAATATTCTATTTTGAATATAAATAAGACCAAATCATGGTTTTAATCAATACTTAAACTATAATTTTTATTGACTTTATTTCAGTCATATGATTACAAGTCTGTCATATGTATTGTGGTTGTCCAAGTACAATGCAAAGATATATTTACTGTATATATTTAGTGTGTTGTGCTATATAAATTTTAGACTCGAAGATTATGATATGAACTTTTATACTTTTATTACAGTTTTTACATTCAAGCCATATCAATATTTTAGATATTTTGTGTTTCATCCATGCAGCAATATAGATAAGACAATTTTATGTACTTTTCTTATATTGCTTTATATTAAATGCATTTTTCCTGAAGGCTATGTATTTCTTAATTTTCCAGGATAGACTATTAAAATTATGATATTCTCCAGAATAGATTATTATATGTTATTTTCATAGATCTAATGCCCTTGAACATTTAAAAAATGGGAATATATTAGTTTTGTTGTAAATTATAGGAAAGGAAGATTTAATTAACTATTAGATGCTGAAATATCTGTGTTCAGAATGAAGTTATATATTATTATGAAGTATCTTCTTATACCTACTGTTTGATCTAGAAATATTAATCTAGCTTTTTATTTAATTTTAAAACATAATGAAATAATATTACTAGATATTTTATCCTTTCTAGCAAAATTGAACAGTAAGTTATTCTTTTCTGGTATGAGCAAAATGTACATGAGATGTGCCTTATCAGCAATCAAAATGATATCTTTTTTGGGAATTCTTATTGAACTTTGCTTTTGGCTACCTTTATATTAAATGTTTTCAACTATATTGATACACAATATCAGTCTGGATCCATTTTTTTTTCAGATACAGAAAAATGTGTGAAATGCTCAAAGTTTCAAATACAGGTACATATGTTTGAAAATTAGCTACTGAGCATAAGAAATAGCTTCTTTTCCATAACTATATTTTGCTATATTGCCAGGGTCATATAGAATCTTTGTAGTTGCATAATAACCCCTAATACATGTTGTATTTATTCCTTCTTCTCTATGGTTTTGTTTCTTGGCTGTTTCCAAATTGCATGGTTTGTGGGCAGGCACTATTGTAAGTTTCCTTACATAATTCTGCCACATAAACTTTCTTTTGATCTACGCATCCCAGGAGACATTCTTATCATGACTAATGATAATGACCGACCTTGAGAAATTTTTACAGAGACTAATACTACTGGATATACTTATTTTGCCTGTCTCCTAATCCAATCGTTCCTCTGGGCAGCAATAGGGAGAAATTATATGTTGATCTACTAATATTACTAATTATGCACCTTATGATTATGCATATCCATGAAAATAGCTATCTTAATTTGATAGGACTTTGTAAGATACGAATATATAAATTCAATCATAGTTAATAAAAAAACTACACAAAAAGGAGCAAAAATGGTTTTATTGTCCATAGTGTGGCAGCCAAATCTTATTAGGTGCCAAAAGCAATTTAAACAATTGAATCTTAAAAATGCCTTAATAAGAGCTTTAATTAAAGTGGAAGCATGAGCAAACTCTCGCCTTGTTTACAGAAGTGTAGAGAGTCTGATCCATCGCCACGACACATACTGAACACAATAAATTATTAAACACGATTCCAAAGCATTCAGTTTTCTATTAACATTAGTAAGACATTTTCTGCCTTTTAAGGGTGGGAATGCTATGAAAATTTAAAGCCTGAAGGATCATCCAATTTTCAAAGATTCTTTTCCTTTCCCATGTTTATATTTCTTCATTTAAAATTTTATCACTTTGTCCAAGTATCAGGGAGGTTCTTTTTTATCTAAACCTTTTCCTGCTGGTATCTCTCAATTGAATCCTAATTAGGAAACATTTCCTTTTATGATATAATAATTCAGTGTAGGGCAAAAGGGAGAAGAACCTGCTGCAGTACCAGCAAAACTGTGCACATGACTCTAAAACGAGTTGAGTCTAATGTTAAAAATTCATATGAATGTTCAAGTAATGGGGCATAAAATAAAATGTGATTTGAAACGAAATGGTCTAGTGCTATTAGAGTCCTAGATTATTGGATCAGTGTAGTTCTCAGCAGTGATGTTGGAACTGGCCAGTCACCTGTAGGACCAGAGACCTATTGGAGCTGTAGTGGTTCCCATTAAGTTTAATATTTTTTTTTTCTAACGCATTAGCTCATAGAGCATGCATGATTATGTTTATTGACCTTCTTTTTCTCTCTTTTTCTACATGGCCAAGAAACCATACTTATATGACTAATCATTAAAGCGTATCATATTGTCTTAACAGTATTATCAATGAATTTAGTGGTCATTTTATTTACTTTGCCTTTTTTGCAAATCCTCTTTCTATGTTTTCACTCTGCAGGAAATGGTGGTTCTTTAATATTGGATTAACTTTGAATGCTATTTGGTTTTCCTATCTGCAGTATATCATTCCTTGAAATATCTAGGCATTATTCAAGTTCTAATTTGTTGCAATCTAATCTGATTGTGGGTAAAATTGGGGAACATGCATTCTATTACTCATGAGCTCTTGAAAGTCCACATAAAATGACACATTTTAGGAATATGTAAAGCTATCATAATTGTTTTATTCAGTTTTATTTGTCTTTTAGATCTGTATTTTTACATTTGTATCTCTGTATACATTGTTACTGGTGCATTGAATATATATATATATATATATATATATATATATATATATAGTTTTATAATGTTTTGACTATAGTCAATTCATGTAGTCAAATCTTGATTATATAATTAATATAATGATAAAATGTGGAATATTTAAATATCATTTATATTTGAACCTAAAATATTTCTTTGTTCTAAAAATTGAATGTAGCAATTTAGTAATGCAGCAATGTAGTAAATTTAGCAATTTAGAAAGTAGCTTGAGAATTAATGGTATAATATAAAAATTTTCAGTATTTTTTTAACTTCTCTCAGTATTTGCCTAATCTTCCCCTGTAGTAGTAAATGTGCCTCCTTTATTAATTGCGTTTTATCATAATCTAAGCACAGCCGCCTGCTCAGACGCGTTTCTTAAATCAGGGTGCAATGAAATGATTAAGGTTCAATGCTCTTTCTTGTTACATGTGTAATAGGATTACCTGGTGGGAATTCCGACTCAAAGGGAAACTCGGTGTTATCTTTAGAGAAAATAGTCTGCATATATGTGTATAGACACTCATGCACAATTTGGAGTATGATATCATAGACTAATATGGCTTACTCACATACATACTCATATACACAGCTGCCAATCACTACAGTTATTTAATTTAGAATGGAAAGCATATGTTATAGCTAAAATAAATTAGGATGGGAGCCAGACAAACATTTAAAATTTTGAATCTAACACTCATTTCCTATCTTCCACTTTTGACAATTATTTCCTTTTTTCCTCTAGGAAGGAATAATATACATGGTGTGGTAAAATCAATACCTTAATGCACATACATGCACATGGCACACTTGTCACTTGTATTATTTCTCCTCTAATTACTTACGATCCAGGTAGAAAACAATTCAGACAATTAGCATAACTCTGTTGGAGCAGTGGTAGCTGTCTTACCACGTAAATATCATAAGAATTTCAGTTTCTAATGTTTAACTTTTTGTAATGAATTGGCAAATTTTCAGATTTCGGAAATGTTTGCTAGTTAAATTACTTTTCAGAAAACCATCAACTTAATTTTTTGAAAAATCATAAAATTAGATGGTCTTTACACAATTTCCTCTCTTTATGAATGGAATATTCCTTTCCAGAGAGATTCCGTATAAAAACAACATTTCAGTTAGAATTTCTGCAGCCCTACTCTGAAAACTAATAGGGGGAATTTTTGTTCTGTCACATCTGGACTGCTTAATCTTGAAACTACATTTCATATCATTTTTGCCCTGTTCTTTTTACAAATGTTTATGCTTCTGTCTCTTGCTTGTAGCTGAATTGACGGCTATGGAAATGGGATGAGAAAAGTGTCACAGTTAGGTCTACTGACTTCCCAATTCGGCTGACAGCTGTCTGATTTTTTGCGTCCTAGCGTGGCTTCTTGTGGAATAGCCTTGGCATGTGTATTTTGTTAGATAGAAGGCAAGACTAAATCATCAACATGAACATGAGAAGTCTCAACAGTCTCTTTTGGAAATGTTTATTTTGTTAAAAAGGGGAAATTGTATCTTCAGGATATAGTTTTTAAAAGCAAAAGAGCATTAATTTGAAATTAGTAGAAACTATCAGGTTAAAAACCATGTGTCTTAGTTACTTTTTACTCGTTGTTGAGGCAAAATATCTGAAGCCCGAAGTTGGGAAAGGAAAGGTTTATTTCTTACAGAATTTGGAGGTTTCAGTCCATACTCAGTTGGCTCCAAGGCAGGCAGGCATGGCTGGGCCGCAGTTCATGGCGGCTGCAAACAGCAAGCAGGAACCAGCAAAACAGCGAGACACACCTTCTTCCTGCCATTACATTACATCCTGGCTCCACCCCTTTGTGGGTGTAGCATTGACACCATCAGTTTAAGCACTAGACAATGAACCAATCACAGATGCATAATGGAAATGCATGAGGGCTTGGGGCCACAGATATAAACCATGACACCATGAAAATTAAATTTCTCAAAAAGTCATTGTCTAGGCATAATTCAAAATAAAAAAATAAAAATGTGTTTTATATGAGTTCTTTCTCACTTCCTTTTACAATTTTAATTTTTTGCCTTTTCTGTAATTGAACCAAGCACAAGTAATGACATTTCAGTTTCTAAAGTAAAGGAGTAAAGAAAATATTCTATGGGACTCAGAAATTAGCTTCATGTCTGTAAGCCACCTTCTTTGAACAAATGAAAAAAGAAAATCAAAGCAAAATAACACAGAAAACAATTATAGGCCCATACCTCTTCATGAATGTAGCATTTTAAATTTTGT